TGATATAGAACAAAATAAAAACACCAATGCCTCTCCTAAAGGCCTTAAATATGCTCTAAGGTAGGGGTTCCCAAACTTTTTCACTCTGGGCCCCCCTTCCAGCATTGGGGAATATCCTGCGCCCCCCCTCATGCGCGCGCACGCAACACGTCTATTTCTTGAAACTTTCTTTGGGCTCAAGCACTGTTCATGACACAAACTGTAACACCCTTCTTGTTGGTGGATAGAATTTTGCAAGTTTAAAGCTTATTTCCAGCAATTCTACACATTTTGTCATGGGGTGCAAAGAAAATGCTGCAGTTTTAAAGCTACTTTTATTGCAATTCTATACATTTTGCCATGTCTAATATGTATTAATGTGATATTTGAGTAACAAAAAAATTACAACAATATCTATTGGCTAAAAAATCTAAATAAATAAAAATTAGCTGACATGGGCTAGTTGATCTGGACATTTCTGACAAGTTATCAATAGCTCTCTAAGGTATGCGATGACTAACATCACAAGAGGAACTGATGATGCACTACCCAATTTTGAAATTGCACCTTGTGCATTCTACTATTACCTTTCAAGAGTAAGTTAAAAGCCCCCCCCCTTCGGACCCCTGGGCACACCCCACAGTTTGGGAACCACTGCTCTAAGGAATCTGTATTTGTTTTTACCATAAAGAGCTTCCATTATGGCCATTATTCTGAAAAAGTGCTGGAAAAAAATCTGTCATTTAAAAAGAGGACCTATGACATGAATAATCAAGGACTTGGGACTATAAGGTTCTATCTGCTAAATGTACACTACCGGTCAGAAGTTTTAAAACACCTACTCATTCAAGGGTTTTTCTTTATTTTTACTATTTTCTACATTGTAGAATAATAGTGAAGACATCAAAACTATGAAATAACACATATGGAATCATGTAGTAAACAAAAAAGTGTTAAACAAATCAAAATATGTTTTATATTTCAGATTCTTCAAATAGCCACCCTTTGCCTTGATGACAGCTTTGCACATTCTTGGCATTCTCTCAACCAGCTACACCTGGAATGCTTTTCCAACAGTCTTGAAGGAGTTCCCACATATGCTGAGCACTTGTTGGCTGCTTTTCCTTCACTCTGTGGTCCGACTCATCCCAAACCATCTCAATTTGTTTGAGGTCGGGGGATTGTGGAGGCCAGGTCATCTGATGCAGCACTCCATCACTCTCCTTCTTGGTAAAATAGCCCTTACACAGCCTGGAGGTGTGTTGGGTCAATGTCCTGTTGAAAAACAAATGATATTCCCACTAAGCCCAAACCAGATGGGTTGGCGTATCGCTGCAAAATGTTGTGGTAGCCATGCTGGTTAAGTGTGCCTTCAATTCTAAATAAATCACAGACAGTGTCACCAGCAAAGTACCCCCACACCATAACACCTCCTCCTCCATGCTTTGCGGTGGGAAATACACATGCGGAGTTCACCCACACCACGTCTCACAAAGACACGGTGGTTGGAACCAAAAATCTCAAATTTGGACTCCAGACAAAAGGACACATTTCCACCGGTCTAATGTTCATTATTTGTGTTTCTTCGCCCAAGCAAGTCTCTTCTTCTTATTGGTGTCCTTTAGTAGTGGTTTCTTTGCAGCAATCGACCATGAAGGCCTGAGTCACACAGTCTCCTCTGAACAGTTGATGTTGAGATGTGTCTGTTACTTGAACTCTGTGAAGCATTTATTTGGGCTGCAATTTCTGAGGCTGGTAACTAATGAACTTATCCTCTGCAGCAGAGGTAACTCTGGGTCTTCCATTCCTGTGGCGGTCCTCATGAGAGCCAGTTTCATCATAGCGCTTGATGGTTTTTGCGACCGCACTTTCAAAGTTCTTGAAATCTTCTGTATTGACTGACCTTCATGTCTTAAATTAATGGACTGTTGTTTATCTTTGCTTATTTGAGCAGTTCTTGCCATAATATGGACTTGGTGTTTTACTAAATAGGGCTATATTCTGTATACCCCCCTACCTTGTCACAACACAACTGATTGGCTGAAACGCATTAAGAAGGAAATAAATTCCACAAATTAACTTAAGGCACACCTGTTAATTGAAATGCATTCCAGGTGACTACCTCATGAAGCTGGTTGAGAGAATGCCAAGAGTGTGCAAAGATGTCAAGGCAAAGGGTGGCTAGTTGAATAATTTTGATTTGTTTACCACTTTTTTGGTTACTACATGATTCCATATGTGTTATTTCATAGTTTTGATGTCTTCACTATTATTCTACAATGTAGAAAATATAAAAAATAAAGAAAATGAGTAGGTGTTCTAAAACCTTTGACCGGTAGTGTATAGTTTTGAGATAATTAGTATTTTTCAATTCCCAGATCTCAGAATTGTTTTGTGATGTGTTCCTCTTTCATGACCCAATAAATAAGTACAGTTCATTCAGAAAGTTCAGACCCCTTGACTTTTTCCACATTTTGTTACGTTACAGCCGTACTCTGAAACTGATTAATTTGTATTTTTCCCATCATCCATATACACACACAATACCCCATAATGACAGAGCAAAAACAGGGTTTTTTTCTGTATTAAAGACAAAACCCAGAAATATGACATTTATATAAGTATTCAAACCCTTTACTCAGTACTTTGTTGAAGCACCTTTGGCAGCGATTACAGCAACAAGTGTTCTTGGGTATGACGCTACAAGCTTGGCACACCTCTATTTGGGGAGTCTTCTCTGCACATCGTCTCAAGCTCTGTCAGGTTGGATGGGGTGCGTCGCTGCACAGCTATTTTCAGGTCTCTCCAGAGATGTTCGATCGGGTTCAAGTCCAGGCTCTGGCTGGGCCACTCAAGGACATTCAGAGACTTGTCCCGAAGCCACCCCTGCGTTGTCTTGGCTGTGTGCTTAGGGCTGTTGTCCTGTTGGAAGGTGAACCTTCTCCCCAGTCTGAGGTCCTGAGCGCTCTGGAGCAGGTTTTCATCAAGGATCTCTCTGTACTTTGCTCTGTTAATCTTTCCCTCGATCCTGACTAGTCGCCCAGTGCCTGCCGCTGAAAAACATCCCCATAGCATGATGCTGCCACCACCATGCTTCACCGTAGGGATGGTGCCAGGTTTCCTCCAGACGTGACACTTGGCATTCAGGCCAAAGAGTTCAATCTTGCTTTCATCAGACCAGAGAATCTTGTTTCTGAGAGTTTCTGGTCTGAGAGTCCTTAAAGTGCCTTTTGGCAAACTCCAAGCGGGCTGTCGTGTGCCTTTTACTGAGGAGAGGCTTCTGTCTGGCCCCTCTACCACAAAGTCCTGATTGGTGGAGTGCTGCAGAGATGGTTGTCCTTCTGGAAGGTTCTCCCATCTCCACAGAGGAACTCTGAACTCTGGCGCTCTGTCAGAGTGACCATCGGGTTCTTGGTCACCTCCCTAACCAAGGCCCTTCTCCCTCGATTGCTCAGTTTGGCCAGGGCAGCCAGCTCTAGGAAGAGTTTTGGTGGTTCCAAACTTCTTCCATTTAAGAATGATGGAGGCCACTGTGTTCTTGGGGACCTTCAATGCTGCAGAAATTTTTTGCTCTGACATGCACTGTCAACAGTCAACTGTGGGACCTTATATAGACAGGTGTTTGCCTTTCCAAATCATGTCCAATCAATTGAATTTACCACAGGTGGACTCCAATCAAGTTGTAGAAACATCTCAAGGATGATCAATGGAAACAGGATGCACCTGAGCTCAATTTCGAGTCTCATAGCAAAGGGTCTGAATACTTATGTAAATAAGGTATTTCCGTTTTTTATTTTTACTAAATCAGCAAACATTTCTAAAAACCTGTTTGTCATCATGGGCTGTAGATTGATGAGGAAAAAAGTTATTTAATCAATTTTAGAATAAGGATGTAACGTAACAAAATGTGGAAAAAGGGAAGGGATCTGAATACTTTCCGAATGCATTGTATATCACCTTACATACAATTATTTTTGATTGACAATCCAGCATTGTGTGATTGGATTGCTGATCGAACCTTATGGCACCAAGTTAAAAGGTTTTTCCGCAGATAGAACTTTCTGATTTTAAATGGTTTTATTGTCAATTTACTTTTTAAAATCTGACACATATCACATGTAAAGGACCACCTAAAGAGCAACTATGTGAGTAACTAATTTTTTAAAACCAAAATGTCAGACAGAACCTTATAGGTCACGATTTGTAACTGGGATATCATGTCAGGGTTAAATCTCTAGAATGGTTTTTAAATAGCCTATAGCGGTATCAAAACATGAAATGTCTTAGAGCGAAGTCAACTCATACCGTTCTGCTTAGCAAGCGCGGTCTTATATCCCTTCCCCCATATCCAAACCAATACACTCCCGCAACATGTGCGAGGTTTCTATCACGTGCAGAAAAATGTCTTAGCAAAACACAGCGAATAAAAAAGCTAATGATTGACAACAGTGACAGCCAATCAGCGATGGAATTTCGGGTAGCAACAAGATAAATTAAGTGAAGATGTCCAATCACAGAAAGACAGGAGGCGTGCCACATTCCACTGTATGATATGTTTACTTCCGTCAATATTTCCAGAGGAAAGCTGCGTTTCTCAATACAACAACGGAATCGCTCTCTCAGTAAGTTTGGTTTGATTGGAAATATATATTTAAGTAAGAAACACAATAGTCCTCTGTCTCTATAGTCTGTTCATCGTTTTCCTGATACTGTAATCAGTTTGCGAGCTAGCTGTCATTTGCTCTGCCTTTTCTAACTCCGCTCAACCAGAAAAATGTGCTTGACAGATATCCGGGCAGTAGTAGTCAATATTTAACAATTACTTTATCTTTATTGTACATTCGACAGTGTTGACAACTGATGTTTAATTTTGTACTTGAAATCGCTAGCTACAATATGTCATCTCTCCTCACAGTGATTTAACGTTAATCGTGGCAATACAACAGTACACACACAGGTAACTAGCAGCTAGCTAGCTACACAAACAGCAACTGTCTTCTTGCACACTCCTCGGGTGAAGGATGCCTTTCTTGGGCCAGGACTGGAGGTCGCCAGGATGGAGCTGGATCAAGACCGAGGATGGCTGGAAGAGGATCGAGTTCTATGGAAATGAATTGGGAGACAACAACAACGGAATAGACTTGGAAGAGTAAGTGCCGTTTACGTACGTGCCCTCATCGCTCTTAATAATTAACCTATTAACCTACATTCACTGTAGTACTACCAAATGGTTATATATATATATATATATATATATATATATACTCTGCCTGTTTCTCATGAGTTGCTGTATTCATGAGTTTATTTGTAGAACACCTTCCTTCAGTGTGCGCCCCTTTTAAAAAAAAAACTGTGACGTATAATAAGGTTCGTACAATCAAACACATATCTGTAATATAGCCATGTGATGTTAATCTATTTCATTTCAAGTCCTATCATTCAGATCAATGCCAATTGACATTGACTTTGTTTTGATTGTTTAGTATTATATCGAATAAAATTGGCTATAGACTGCTTTTCGGCTACATAGCAGATGCGAACTATACAAAGTATCAACTGTTGCTCACGTGCTTGAAATGATCCTCATTAAAAGCCCTGTGTCATGTAAATATCATCAGTGTAAAAATGCTAAAAATAATTGATTGTGAGCTTTTTCACGCTGTGGTCATTTTTACATGACACCCTGCACCATCTATGATAATGTCTTGTATTAGCTTTTATGTACAGTCAGACAGCACCTGGTAGCCTTTCTGAATGAACCATCTAACATTGTCATTCACCACACTCTATTTCACCATTGGATATTGGTTTCCATTGAAAAACAGGGTTGTGAGCAGAGATATAGTCTGCCATTTATTACTGATCTAATGGCTTTCCTGACTGACTACAGCCTGTAACGTGTGTGTGTGGTTAGTTATTATAGACGTAGAGACTGTGCTCGCTACTCTTCTTTCCCCTCAGCTGTTGCTTTTATTTAACGGTCTACTGTTAATTTTTAATGGCTTTTAATGGCTCCGGGGACATGGGATATTATAAGATGAAACACAGCTGAATAATTATGAATGGCACTTTTTTTTTTTATAGCTTTTATTTATTTATATATTCAACCTCTGTTCTATTTGATCTCCTTGCTGAAGGGAATAAGGGATTATTTTGACTGAAGTCTTTGAAGCTTATATTTCATTATTCCGCTGTATAATGAAACTGAGATTATTTACCTTGACACATCCCTATGGGTTATATGGCTATTATACCTTATTGTATTTCTCTTATTTTTAGTTAATCAATTTAGTTCAGTTTCTCAGAACGTTTTTCAGTGAGACTGATATAGAACTCATGAAAATGTATGGTGGATATTGCACTCTGTCATGGTTCTCTGTCATAGTTGCTGTGCTGTAGTCTTTCCCAGCAGGCTTTGCTCACCTGTACTTATCCACCATGTTAAATGAACCAGCTGTTACTCTTTTACTGGTGAAACTTCACAATGTTCACATTGATGCATACCTTTTATGCTCAGGATAAACCGAGAAAGGGAATTGGTGGTAGTAGGTTTTTCTTGCAGTCTATCTGTATGGAATCACTTGATATAACAAATGGATCCAGTTAGCGTTGAGATCAGTTGGACAGAGAGTAACTGTGTCAGTGACACTAGGAGGAAGTGTTCATGTTGTCAGCCCATGAAACAGGAAACATCAGTAGGAAGTGCTTTTTTAGATGATTAAAGAGGCACAGTAAACTCGTGAAATACTGTCACTCTGTCAAGAGATTAGGGTAAATCACAGTAGGACGGATCCAGTCGGCCATAACCTATTCTTAATTCCATACTAGGAGAGACCTCAGGACATTCAGGAAGTGATTTACACTCCATAATTGGCGCCTGTCATCACCAGGGCATCATGGCAACAGACGGAGGCGATTTAATGGTAGGGTTGTTGAAGCAAGGCTCAGAGTAAAGTGAGTCACTCACCAAATAAAACCGACCCAACTGGTGAGGATGTGCCATAGGATGAAGGTGAGCAGGAGGGTAGGAAAGATCTCAAGATGTGTGTGTGTTGTCATCAGTGTGGGTGAAGGTCAGAGTCACATTTAGGTTGGGTGTTTTAAACGTGTCAGGTTCCTGTTTCTCCCACAGCCTGTCAGACAGTAAGTGTGAATATTGAGAATAGTTGTTTGTGACTGACTGATTGTCTGAGGGAACTGACTCAATACCTGCCAGCCAGAGGAGGATACCCTCCTCCACCCAGGCACACACATCAAAACAAACAAAGTTTCCTTCTCCAGCTATGCAACCTGTGGAGAATTGTATTGTGAAATAGACATGACTGACAGATTCATAAATCAGTAGGGGAGAGTGGGGTATTTGGAGCCATTTGTTTTACATTCATCACTACATCAAGGGAAATATAGTATTCTTTCTAACAAAGATATCTACATATATTTCAGGATGTTGTGGATCCCTGGAAATAATCAGAATTAATGTGAACATAACAGTTTTGAAAACATAGCTTGTCCAAAACAAGTTGTCTCTTGGCACAACTTACCCTGGTATGGGGTAGCCTAAATTGAGTATAGGGACCGGGTAAGTTGAGGTAAAGATGTTCCACATCTACAAATTTCTGTACTGAATCCAATATTACCACCACCTTCTCTTGAGTTTATATGCATGACAAGTTGCAAAAAATACTATGCATATTACTGACAAAATTTTACCCCTGGCCAAATGGCACACTTGGCACAATTTACCCCAAAGCAACCATTTTGACTATATTAGCCCACAGCTACAAGGTAAACTTTCATGCTAGGTTTAAGACATCTTATTGTAGTTATAAAGACCCCAACTGATGTATAAAATGTCTTAAAACTATCTACTTTGGTTTAGATGGAAGCATCATGAAACCTATAACACAAATTCATTTGACTTTGTGAAATCCAGTTTTTCTTTTTTTTACCTAACTTGCTAATGTGGTTTCTTCCTTCAGACTCCATGAAATTATGACCTCTTCCTAAACATTTGGTCAGAATGTATTGATTTGACATGATTCATTTTGTGTATGGAGTTCTAGAAACAAGGGGAGGTACAACTTACCCCACTCTTCCCTACATTGATTGACTGACTAATTGGTTAGTTGATTTCTTAATTAAATTGGTAGTATATTGATTAGGCTAATTGACCTGAAAGGTCACAGGGGATTGACTTGGGTAGTCCTCTCCTTGGTCCATTGTAAACAGGTGCACTGATGAAGGAACACAGCACTTGTCCTCCCTCTCTTTTCCACGTAGGAGAAAAATGGCCACCTCCCAATGTTTTTATGCCCTCCTTTTTCCCATCTCCTAATCTCCCATCTGTTCTGACATGTGGTTCAATTTAACATTCACTAGCAAACCTATTTATGTTGATTTAAAGTTGCCAGGAATTTTCCTACCTTCCTTCTCTCTGTCAGGTTTTGTAGCGGATTCATATTTATGTAATGCTACAATTGGGTGCATGGGGTTGACCCTGCATTGTATTGCCATATAAAGAGATGAAGGATGTACTATGTAGGGAGTTCTTGTGTTCATCAAATCAGCATGGCGTTGTATGTAGCCAACATCTTTGTCACAACTCATTATGTTATAGCAGTGGCTCCCAACAAGTTATTTTTGTCTTTCTCTTGTCTGTTAAAATAATGTTTTGGGCAGTCTTTGACTTCTCTCAGCAGGAGGGCTGGCTTGTTATCTGCAGGAAACATGTTCTGTTATGACCTGTGGACTGTGGTGGTAGTGAATGATGAGGCTTTTAGGCAGGGGTTTTACCATTCAGAGCCCCATGTGGTGCTCCAGTCTAGACAAACAAAACAGATTAGGAAAAATAATAATCTTATATTTTGACATGGCAGAGTATTACATCTGATTGTTATGATTTGCTACACTTTTTTTTTTTTATGTGGTGATGCAGTAGCTATTTATCTCTGATGGTTATAATCGTATAGGCTATTAGTCGCTGTGTAGTGAGTACCTTTTTATGGTGTCATCAAATCTAAAGTTGGCCCTCCAGTACCTCACAATACAACATTTGGCAATAAACATCCTACAAATACCTCACAGAAAAACAAACTATGACATTGCACCACACAATAACCAATGACATAATTTCCTCTCAGTGGCTATCCTCCAAAAAACATCCAGACTCACAAAGGCCAATGACATACAGCATCTACCCCCACAGTAGCCATTGACTGCTAAAAAAACACTCCCACAGACCGACATCATTATGACTGCTATTGTACTGATCCAAGTCCAACACAGTAGTTCAACACTCTCTCTCAGCCATTTAGCTGATACCATGTAAAAGGTGAACATTGACTGTCAAAGACCCACATTGACTGTACAGGGTGTATTTTGAGTAGTTTGAGAGCCAAAGTTGCTCTGTTCCTCCTGTCTGTCTCTGAGGGTTTTAGTTTTTCCTTCTTCTCTGTCCAGACATGCTGCAGTGAGAATCCTCTGTAAAATGTTAGGTTATTGCATTCCTCACCTCTAATTCCCTGTTACTGATTGGTGTGTGTGCACGAATGTCCACGTTCGTGCGTGCATGAATTAAGCAGTGGGATCAGTACATAAAACGGCCTGAATTAGCCTACAGCCTAGATAAGCTGCATGTGTTACACGCAAAAAACTTTGGTCCACACCAATGCATTGCTTAATCTCCAGCCCCCTCCCTGCCTGTGGTCAGTCTGTGTGGATCTGAGACAGGCTGGAGGGAGAGTTGCTCTGCTGCTGAGATAGTCACGTGATAAGGCTGAGCACATGGATTACTAATGCATGGAGAACATCAGTGGACCACTCACTTTGATCTAGCAGCCAGTCCTCATTAAACCAGCTGATTGTCTGTGTAGAGAGAGAACACGACACCCATAGAGATCAGAGCAGGGTAATGGTCAATGATGTTCCAGATGCACTGTGTTCAGATAACAGGAGCAATAACATAAAACAGATGTAGGAGCAACAACATGGACTAGGGGTTAAAGGGGTAGTTCACCCAAATTACTATAAACTAATTTAATGGATAACCTGTATCGAGTATTTAATCTGAACAGGACTGTAGGAAGTTGATAGTTGCTGTATAATCTGGGTTCTGAGATTAGCTGCCTGTGATAGGAAGTTGATTTGCTGCAAGATATTTTATGCTTGCCTCAATGCCTCAATGATACAGTGTGGTTCCCTAGATAAAGAGATTAGCTGATTTCGTCCAGCATTAGAGCTGATGTTATGGTCAGAAAATAGTCTCTGGCCTCTAACCTTCTCCATGAGTCTTTCTGAGAAACAAGAGGTCAGCCAGGTCAGATCAGGGCTCTGCCAGTCTTAATCACCTCAGTGGTAGTCAGGCAGTCATCTGGGCATGGCCAGGCTCTGGCCATCTGCAGCGTGGACAGTGACTTAGTTACATGAATACACTGATGTCCACCATGCCAATGCTCATAAACAATGCTATTGACTCACTCCTTTCATGTCTACCTTGTCTTTCTGAAACAGGCTCTGCGATGAAAACAAAGAGAATCTGTTTACTGGAAATGTGTGCGAGGTAGCTGCCAAAAAGAGGAAAAAAGACTTCTACAACAACAACACCAAATCACAGTGTGAGTAGCACTGACCGCAGCCATCTTATTCCCATTAAAGGTCTTTGGGGGGAAATGGCCAACCACTAGAGCTATTAGGAATGCTAGCCAGCTAGCATGAGGTTTGGCAACAGTGGTTTAACAAAACAGTTATGATAAATAGCAAAGTAAATCTCTCTCTTTGACTCTGCTTTCTTTTCTCTCTTTTCCCAGTTGTTTACCAGGAGAAGTGGATCTATGTTCAGAAGGAGAGCACGAGAGAGGTGAGGAGAGTTTAGGTCAACTGCACCATATAACTGTGCGACACAAGACCTGGAATGTGGATACACTTTATGCGATGTTTAATGGACAGTAAATAAAAATAGAGAATGTCCACTAGATTTTGTTTATTGCCCATTCCACTCTTTACCTTACACGGTATGTGTTTTGGTAATTAAGTGTGTGTTCTTACCTTAGAGACATGGATACTGCACGCTAGGGGAAGCCTTCAACCGTCTAGATTTTTCCAGTGCCACTCAGGACATCCAGAGATTTACCTATGTGGCAAAAGTAAGATGCTGGCCTAGTATCTGAATTATTAAGCATGATTTAGCTTGATCAGTGAAACTGCATGTATCAATTATACTGGTTATGTGCTGATACTAGTCCTTGATTTGTGTCCTGTCCTCATCTCACTCTTTCACCTCTCTACTCTCTCTCGCCCTCTCTCTCTCACCCTCACCCTCTCTCTCACCCTCACCCTCTCTCTCACCCTCACCCTCTCTTTCACCTCTCTCTCTCTCTCTCTCTCTCTCTCTCTCTCTCTCTCTCTCTCTCTCTCTCTCTCTCTCTCTCTCTCTCTCTCTCTCTCTCTCTCTCTCTCTCTCTCTCCCCCTCTGTGCAGCTCCTCCAGCTCATAGCCAGGTCTCAGCTGCCGTCCCTCAGTGGAGCAGCTCAGAAGAACTACTTCAACGTGCTGGAGAAGATCGTACGGAAGGGTGAGGGAGACGGAGAGAGGGATATGTCCTCATCATGCTGTACCTCCCTGGTCTGTACTCAATGGCCTGTCAGAATAACACAGTGTAACCACAGCACATTGCCTAATGGCACAGCCCCTGGTTTTAGCCCTGAGCCATACTTGGTGTTGTCACTGCTCCCTGGTTGGAGAAGTGAAATGCAGCCTAGCGCTTTTTCTGAGAACAACACTTCTCTCTGTCCTGATTTCAATGCCCTCAAACTGACAGTCTAATACTGGGTTTCTTGGTACCGTTTGGTCTCATCAGCGTGGCAGTAGAACCGGTCTCACTGCTGCTGTGTCAGAGTGTTTGCCCAGCCACTAAACCACACAGCTGTAGTGCCCCGTCATTACTGAGCTGCTGTTGCCGGGCGGATCAAAGGAGCCATCAGATCTAAGCTTTAGGTCACACAACCACTCGCCTCAGGAAGGAAAACATGAATTAGCTGCAGTATATAAAGACCTATTTTGCTTTGGCTTCATGCATGCCTTGAGAGTACAGTACGCTCTTCAAATGGTGGTTTTGCTTTGGGAGTAATGGCAAAATGCTTCGACTTTTGATAAATATTTTCCTGTAGTTTTATTTTATTTTGCATTTTTGACTACATTTCTTCCATTACAAAAAGCATAACATTTTTAATAGATGTTTGGCATTGTTGTTTTTTACACTGTTTTAAACCCTTTGTTCTTTCTTTGTGTCCAGTTCTGGAGGACCACCATAACCCTCGCCTTATCAAGGAGCTGCTGCAGGACCTGAGCTCCACCCTGTGCATCCTGACCCGGGGCATGGGCAAGTCTGTCCTGGTGGGCAACATCAACATCTGGGTCTGCAGGCTGGAGACCATCCTCAACTGGCAGCAGCAGCTCAACAACCTGCAGATACCCAAGGTAGAGTATGGGGGGGGGGGGGGGGGGGGGGGTCTTTTTAAATGGATGATTATGAACCTAAAAGCCCTCACACCTAATAGTTCAGCCATGGCTCTATAAGGGGAGGCTACTGCTGACCTGGGTACAGTTGGCACGGTGACAGACAGTGTTCAGTCATCGGTTCCTCTCAGTGTTGTATTGTGTAGTGGAATGCTGCAGCCACAGCCAGCCAGGCATAACCTTAACTAGGTGTCAGTCTGGTTCTGCTCTAGCCAACTCTTATGCTGATGTTTGGCTAAATCCGAATCAGACTGGCTCGGCTTCAGAGATGGACTGGTTCATTGTGTCTCATTATCAAGGTGGTTAGTGTGTTTGCTTGGTAGAAAGTTGTAACTTGTATCCTTTTGTGTACTTAGACGTGTGCCGTCTGTTTAGTTTCAGTAGTCAAGAGACCTCTTGCATGGAGGGAAATTGACCTGATAGTTCTGTTACAGTCTTGCCATAGTTTCAACATATGTCTATTTCTCTCTCCCCCCAGCAACTGTCCAATGGGATGACGCTGCGTGACCTGCCACTAGACATGCAGAACAACATCCTGTACAAGTTCGCCGACGCCTGTGACATCATCAACCTGGGACAGGCTACGCCCACGCTGCACATGCTCAGTGAGGACCGGCACCTGTGGAAGAAGCTGTGCCAGTTTCACTTTGCAGAGAAACAGGTAGAAGTCACTGGGTATCTAAACATGGCATTCAATGTAATCAGTGTCACAAACTGCTTGAATACAGGGTCATGTTCAGTGAGTAGTGCACAGTGACCACCAGAGAGCAGTGTTTCCACATTTAATGTAAGGGAGGCATTCTACATAAGTTCTTTGGAGTTGAACATGAAATGGTGCTCATTTATAAAATAACACAGGAATTACCCTTCAGTTACCTTAACATCTCTTTCTTTCCTTTCCACATGGTGTTAACCGTGTTTTCTCTTCATGTTGTGTGTGTAGTTCTGCAGGCATCTGATCCTGTCAGAGAGGGGCCATGTGGACTGGAAGCTCATGTACTTCACCTTACAGAAATACTACCCCAAGAGAGAGCAGTACGGAGACACACTGCACTTCTGCAGACACTGTAGCATCCTCTTCTGGAAGGTAAGAACAAGAAGACACACTAGACAATATGGCGGCATCTTAAATGGCACCCTGTTCCCTACATAGTGCACTACTTTTGACCAGGGCCCATAGGGAATAGGGTGCTGTTTCGGACGCGTTTTATGTGTTCCATAGCTGCATGTCAAGGAGGACTCCCATAATACATAGGCCTATTTTTAGGTGGATATTAATAATAGATTTATTAAGCATTTTTTCCAAGTTCGCGTATGTGCTTTGCAAGAAAGAAAAGTAAACTAAAATAAAGTTTCAAAGTGGACTGAGATTTTGAGTCAGTCCTAGCCAGGAGAAATCTTTGGATGTGTTTTGATGTCATGGTGACCTTTTGCTGTGGTTATGGAGTTCGGAGTCAGCTCAGGACTGGGATTTGCCCATTTAATAGACGGTAACGGTAGCGCATTCGCGTCAATCACGAATGTATCTGCCGTGGGAGGGAAATGCCCCGACTATCTGTGTTAATACGCCTCACTTGTGATACGGTTTTGGAAACATGTTGAACTTTACTTTCATATCAGCGAGAAATAATTGTTCTAAACTGTATCGCAAGGATTATTAATGTGTCTAGATCTTAATATAAACAATGGCGCCAATGTGTGACATTGGGAGCAACATTTGAAAATGGTTTGAAACCAAAATAAAAAAGATTTTCATGCAGTTCCACGTGTACTATGAGGACTCCACCTATAAAACATAGGCCCAGGACTAACCTGTACCCCCGCACATTGACTCGGTACCGTTACCACCTGTATATAGCCTCATTATTGTTTTATTTTATTTTTTACTTTATTTTATTTAGTAAATCTTTTCTTAACTATTTATTGAACAGCATTGTTGGTTAAGGGCTTGTAAGTAAGCATTTCACGGTAAGGTCAACACCTGTTGTATATCAACTAAATTTGATTTGACTATACATCCTTTAAGCAGGGTTCATACAGACATTGGCAAGTCAAATTCAAGGACTTTCAGGGACTTTTTCAAGCACTCAATTGTACTTTTCAAGGACCTCAATGTTATGCAATTATATAATGTGTATATAACTGTACATATAGGGCATAATATAGAACCCCCCCCCCCCCCCCCCCCTCAAAAAAGCATACAAAAAGTGTTTTTAAAAAAAAAAGTAGGCCATCACTACTTTAAGAATAATTATTTATTTGAGATTTTGGGCCTTGCCAATGCATTGATATTCAAAATATTTTTACATTTAAAAAAAATTGACAATAATGTGGACATTGCCTGACTAAATAGACTGGATGCGTGCATGGAGATTTGTATGTGGCCGACGCAGGCACACATAATAAAGTAATGAATAGCGGTAGCATTAATCTCACCATAGCTGTTTTTATAATGAGAAAGGGACCAAAAACCAGGTCTCTTTTACATTTTAAGCGTTTAGTAGACACTCTTATCCAGAGCAATTAGGGTTAAGTGCCTTGCTCAAGGGCACATCGGCATATTTTTCAACTAGTCTGCTCTGGGATTTAAACCACCAACCTTTAGGTTACTGGTCCAAAGCTCTTAACCGCTAGGCTACCTGCCGCCCTCTTTTTTTTTTTGTTGTTGTAAGAATTTCTATGGAAAGCCAAGTTGAAGCAAACATTAGATGTTGTCTTCATAATAGTAAGAAAATGTAGACACTCACTACTGTAAGTCGCTCTGGAGAAAAGCGTCTGCTAAATGACAAAAATGTAAGTAATAACCACATGTTGTTTTACTGCAACAGAGTAGCACAACACCCTTCAATTGAAGCGGTGGGAAAAAATTATAGTGGCCATATCTCTCACAAAAACGGATCAAAAATGAAATCATGGGTAGTTTTAAGGGAGCAGGAGATCTTATAAATTGGCTACAATAATTACAATAACTTTTCAAGCACCAAATTGAGGAAATGTATTTTTTTCAAGGTAGGCCAATCCCAGTACTTGAATTTCTGAGCTCCAAATTCAAGTTAAAGTAGGCTACCTACTTTAGGTCTAACATGGAAAACAAAATGTATTTGACATGTTATTTCATTACCAGATCATATTGTGAATAAGCCCACTAGGTTATGTAATTTGTTGTCACTATATCCAGAATAATTTATAGGAATAGCATTGGGTATTGCGCAATAGTATATCCTACACAATTGCGCACAGTGGACTCCGTGTCCAAGCCGAGGCACAAAAACATATGAAAACATGAACTCATTGCCTTTTTTGCTTTCTCTGTTAAATCAAGCAGACCACAACAGATGATCAATTCACTAGGGATATTAGATCCAATGTGGATCCAGGCCAGTGCTTAATTTGTGCCGGATCCTGCCGGAAGAGGATCCGGCACCTCAGATTTGACTTTGTTTGTTCCGGTACCCATTTGCCCAGATCCGGTACCTCTCGCGGCATGATTGATTAATTATTTCACTGTTCACACTGTAGACATTCTAATAAAAGCGATCAGCATTAAATCAAGTCGCCTCCTCGTTATTTCTCTCGCCCCCCAGAAAGACCATCATGTAAAAGCGCGGTGATCCTTTTTTGTAATCATCCTATCCTGCCACACTGATTCCAGACCTGCTCTCTTATTTGTACATATAGGTTATGGGGAGGGCCAGTGGGGTAAATAACTGATCTTGACACAGGTCTTGGTAGTGGTGGTCAGCTAGTGAAGAGGTCCCTACGTAATCACATCACGTAGCCTAGTCTAGTTGTCTCCCTACTGAATTTGAATCGTGGGAAAGCCAAATAAAAAATTAATAAGAAAAGGCAATCGAGTTTGACATTTTTCAAGTACAAAAATCCAGAGAAAGATAATAATAATAATAATATAATATGCCATTTAGCAGACGCTTTTATCCAAAGCGACTTACAGTCATGCGTGCATACATTTTTGTGTATGGGTGGTCCCGGGGATCGAACCCACTACCTTGGCGTTACAAGCGCCGTGCTCTACCAGCTGAGCTACAGAGGACCACAAGATGGTGACCATATGGCAGGTGTTCTGCAGTGTCGTCAAAAAAGGTTGCAGTATATTGATGTCTAGAAAATTAGGCTATAAGAAATTCGGACTTGTGTAAGCCCCGCAGCTATACTCAAGTATGTGGGCTAAAATGTTTGAATTAATTAGCACCTTGGAGAGTGCTGTCCATTTCACCACCATAGATCGTAGGCTACTTGGCTGCTATGTTGTGTTTGACACTCCCCCTCGCGGTCACTATGTGTTCAGGGACTTCCCAATTTACAAATGAAGCACTGATCCAGGCACAACTGTATTCACCGGCGTAACGAATGCGATGCCACAATATTCTGGACATTCCTTGCGAACACCTTTTTTACAGCACTTGGGCTGTTGCATCGAATGCACCATCATAACAGCTGTTTGTCACTTGACTGTCATTTGGAAAATTCCTTCCTGGATCAGATGATGTGTGACAATATCACAGCGAAACAAATCAGCTGGACACCAAATGCGCATCCAACAAGTATTATGCATAATTATTGAAGAAGCACGTTAATGACAGTATCGATTTTAGGGTTTTAAGTATCAAGGTAAGGTGACTCTTTCAGTTTTGAAGCATTTTATTTTGTAATGCATAAATTATGCGTGCATACACAAAAATGTATGCACGCATGACTGTAAGTCGCTTTGGATAAAAGCGTCTGCTAAATGGCATATTATATTATTATTTATTATATTATTATTTTTGATTTGTGTGCCCATGAAAACTGACTGTTTTCACCCCGAAATCTACTCATCTACCCCACCCTATATCTTAATGTAATGACTTGAAGAAAAGAAAAAAAATCCTCACTGGTACCCTAGTTTATAGAAAGACCCTTCTAAGCGTTAAACGGAGCGTCAGGATTGTAGTCCACATGGAGCCAGCTGTGGTCCATATACGTTCAGCTTAGAACCCTAGGTATGTCTGTATGCCCCGTTGCGTTCTCGAGAACTAGACGGGAATGTACTGTGAGGAAAATGTACAGCCAAAACAATCTTTATCAGTAATGTGTAGTGTAGTCACAACCGCCCCCAAAAAGATTCAAGAACATAATCTCTCTGTGTATTGAGACTTTTGTTATATGCACTTTAAATAAAGTTGATTTAATTTTCTCTCGAACTGATACTATTAGCAGTGACTAATCATTTGGGTGGAGAAAACAGCCTCTTTTCCAAAACCAACAAACTCCTTAAAACTGCCCCTCTCCTTTTCGCTAGCAGCATGTAACGCTATCACATTCCTCTCACGTCAGCCCTTAGAGTAACTTTTTAATTTTTTAATAATCGAAAACCAGATGTTTTAGGGTTAGTTATAGTGAAGCAAGGCAATTCTGGTCTTCATTTTGACAGTTTGTTGCAAAAGTAATATACTGAACAAAAATATAAACACAACATGTAAAGTGTTGGTCCCATGATTCATGAGCTGAAATAAAAGATCCCAGAAACTTTCCATATGCACAAAATGCTTATTTCTCTCATTCTGTGTACAGATTTTTGAGGGAGCGTGCAATTGAGGGAGCGTGCAATTGGCACGCTGACTGCAGGAATATCCACCAGAGCTGTTGCCAGAGAATCTAATGTTAATTTCTCTACCATAAGCCGCCTCCAACGTTGTTTTAGAGAATTTGGCAGTAAGTCCAACTGGCCTCACAACCGAAGACCACATATAACCACGCCAGCCCAGGACCTCCACATCCAGCTTCTTCACCTGCGGGATAGTCTGAGGGTGGGGGTGCTGAGGAGTATTTCTGTCTGTAATAAAGCCCATTTGTGGGGAAAAACTAATTCTGATTGGCGCGGCCTGGATCCCTAGTGGGTGGGCCTACCCATGGCCCACCCATGGCTGCACCCCTGCCCAGTCATGTGAAATCCATAGATTAGGGCCTAATGAATTTATTTCAATTGACTGATTTCCTTATGAACTGTAACTCAGAAAAATCGTAGAAATTGTTGCATTTATTTTTTCAGTATATTTTGGTCTTTTAGTAGTAAATCTAGCTCTTTTTGACCCTAGTGGTTCAACTCTACTATTTAAATCATGATGTAGAGGCACCTTGAGAAAGTTCCTCTACGTCATAGGTCACTAACAGGCGGACCGCGGTCCGGATCCGGACCCAGAAGCCGTCCCATACGGACCCGGACCAAAACAAAAGATTATGAATTAAAACCTGACGGGGCGCTTCTATTTTAATATGCACAGCTTTTGTAGTCTTTACGGTACTCGTTTTGTGAATGAGGAAACTCACCGACCAATTGCATGTGAGTTAAGCGATCCCACGTGATACCACTCAGCCAATGAAGTCTTTGCATTCCTGGCGGTAAACATTGGGACTCTACAGTGCAGACAGATGAGAGTTTTAGAGGCAAGTTACCAAGGAAAAGAAAGTCGGATTAAAAAGATAGCGATATATGTAGAAAACAAAGGGAGCGAAAACAGACGAATGAGACGGAGAAAGGGAACGAAACAGACGAGTGAGAAACAGACGAATGAGACGGAGAAAGGGAGAGATACAGACGAGTGTGCCGGAGAAAGCTGAGGAAAATACGAGTGAGACGGAGAAAGTTGACGAAAATATGAGTGAGACGGAGAAAGGGAGCGAAACAGACGAGTGAGGCAGAAAAAGGGTAACAGTTAGAGAAAATAAGGAACAAATGGCACTCTCCAAAAAAAGAAAAGTGGACAATGAAAACAGAGCATTTAATCCAGAATGGACAGACTCCACCAGGATCCTGAGCAACACATTCACTGCCCAACAACGTGCTCTTGAGTGTTCCCTCAGAGTTTCTTGGATTTTGGGTAAACACAAAAAGCCATTTACAGATGGAGGGGTTGTCAAAGAATGCATGAGTGCAGTAGCTGAAACACTACTTGAGGGAAAACAAAAAAATGAGCTTTGTGATAAAATAAAGCAAATTCCCATGTCAGCATCATCTGCCACAAAGAAAAGTGAAATATTAACTCAGGATGTGCTAACCCAGCTAGATGAAGCCATGCATAAGGCACCATGTGTAGGCTTAGCTGTGGATGAGTCCACTGACATATGTGACAATGCTCAGCTGTTAGTGTTTGCCAGGTTTTTCAACACAGCCCAGAAAACATTCTGTGAAGATATGTTAGGTGTCACTCCCCTTCAGACCAGTACAAGAGGAGAGGATATCTACCTGGCCATTAAGGAGATGTTAACAAAAAGAGGAATAGAGCCAAAACAAGTGGTTTCAATAACCACAGATGGAGCCCCTTCTATGATAGGGAAAGAAAAAGGAGCTGTAGCAAGACTGAAAGGGGACAATCCTGAGCTTTTATCTTACCATTGCATCATTCATCAATCTGTCCTCTGTGCCTCCCTGTCAGATGAGCATGCTGAGGTGATGAATACAATGATGAAAATGATCAATTTTCTCAGGGCATCCTCTTCCTACCAGCATCGCATGCTTAGGGAATTCCTCAGAGAAGTTGATGCCAATGCTGATGATCTTTTGCTGCACAACAATGTGAGATGGCTCAGCAAAGGCAGGGTGCTAGAGCGCTTTTGGTCCATCAGGAGGGAATTAGCATCTTTTTTGGCAGAGCTAAGCAGTCAGAAGGCAACACAGTTTTCTCTCTTTTTAGAAAATGAGAAATGGATGGATAATGTGGCCTTTTTGGTTGACTTCACGTCACATCTGAATGAACTGAATTTGAGGCTACAGGGCAAGGACAATTCAATTTGTGAACTGATGACAGCTGTTCGCTCCTTTCAGAGGAAACTTGAAGTGTTCAAGGAAGACCTGCAGGGAGACTGTGTACACTTCCCAGCAGTGCAGGAACAGGTTCAGGGACAGAGAGATTTGTCTTCTTTTGTTGATTTTATTGATAAGCTGATTGTAAACTTCAGCAACCGTTTTGACAGCTTCAGCTTTGGAGAGCAGCTCACCATGTTCATTCAGAACCCATTTCTGATCACAGATGTCAGGGGGTTCTCAAAGGAAGTCACACAGCACTTTAAATGGGTAAATGCTGGGTCTCTCCAGATGCAATTGGTTGATCTCCAAGCAGATGTGGCCCTGAAAGAGCAGTTTGTAAGAACTGACCCTTCCACTTTCTGGTTCCAAATGGTCCCTGAGACTGCTTTCCCAGGTCTGAGGAAAGTAGCCCTATACATCTTGACCATGTTTGGCTCCACATACAACTGCGAGGCAGCTTTCTCCACAATGAACATAATTAAAACTAAATATCGTTCCAGGCTCACCAATGAGCACCTTCACATGTGTATGAGAATGGCCCTGACTCCATTCAAGCCCAGGTTTAAAATTCTGGCAAGACAGGCTAAAGCTCAATTCTCTCACTGAGCAAAAACATGGTGGAGTGGGATATGAGGGGAAGAAAGTGATACTCTAAAACTGTTCAATTGTTAAGATCTGTTGAGATTTATTATTTGTAAAATTGGTTGAGACTGTTGAGTCAAGATGTGAAACAGAAAAGGGGGAAATTCAAACTTTTCCTCCCTTTATATTATTTTTCTGAAGTTAAGCACTTTTTTTGAAAATGCACAATTTTCACATTTTATTTATTTTCTCTTATTTTGACATGCAGCCCTAGTTTTATTTAGTTAATTAATGAGAGCACATTGTACATATCTACAGTCATACATATATGTTCAGTAGGGCTGCCCCTCTTAGTCGATTAGTCGACTAATCGGTCGTTTTGGTCTTAGTCGACTAAGATTTCTTTAGTCGATAAGTCATTTTTTATGCTTATTCATGCTTAATTACTCATTTCCAAGTAACTTATGAGAACATTTCTGGTGAACACGAGATTTAAAGTGGTGCTTTTGCAGGATTAATTTCGGAGAAACTCAGTTTTACAGATGGTTAATTAACTACATTTATATTGCGCTTTTCTAGTCTTGCACAGCTCTGTCGATTAAATCAACTAATCGATTAGTCGACAAACTCATATAAGTGTTAGTCGACTAAGAATTTCTTTAGTCGAGGACAACCCTAATGTTCAGTTCTATGTTTCGTGATAATAAATATTGTCAACAAGTTTTTGAATTGTACTGAATTAATTTGATTAGATGGTCAGTTATTGATTACATTCAGAACTACTAGGCTACTTAAATATATATACCACTAAATTGTTAGACATTATGATCTTCTGGACCTTTGCTTCAAAACATTTTCTCTAACTGGACCTTTTTTAAATTTTGTTGAATACCCCTGCTCTACGTCATCTCAGGGGAGGGGTTTGGTATGAAATACACCCCCTTCTAGATGTGCTGGGTGGTACCATCTCAAGGCTTACTATAAAAGTAGGTGACCGCGTGCCTTATTTGGCAATGGTCTTGGTAAGTAGAGTGTGGCAATATATTTTGCTTCCTTGACTACTGATGTTACACAATTCAAAAGGCAGTAAGGCACATTGCCGCATATTACCAAATTCAACGTTTTAGAATTTGGTCATTATGCACATCTGTGATTTTACGAAGAAAGAAAAACATGAAGGCTATGAGGATTATACGTTTATATTCATAGCTATGTCCATTGTAACAAACCATTGTAACAAAAAAAATAGATGCCAATGGTGGTCATGTCAACTTGTTGTATTTTTTTCCAGCTGCTATGACTGATTGGCACAGTCCGCTAAGACATTTGGCTCATAGTTTAATGGTTGGGAGTTCTAATCTCACATGGGACAGATATCTTTATTTAATTTCTATATCCTTTTATTTACAATATTCATCCCGTACCCACACACTTCCAATTCTGAAAAGTGAAAGCATACCTGTGAGAGTGGTTGCCCTGGTAGTAGTTGTAGGTTTTTATACAGTACCTAAAACCAATCTGTGAGTTGATTTGACCATTGGAAAAAGAGCTACTGCATAAATACTGTAATGCGGGTTGGATTGAATTGAGCCTCTAATCTTCATTGTCAAGGTGATGATTGCTATTTCCTTCCCAAAACTATACCACAATAAATGAGAGTCCACATTTCAAATATTGTTTTTGCGTCCCATGATTTTAATTTACACCGCAAGTGGCAATAGATGTCAGGAACTCTGCGCCTTATCACTGTGAGCTAACTGTCCAGAGGCATATTTGTTCGCGATGCACATAATTTTCTAATCAGAGCGTGCCAGTGGACTGGTAAGTATGCTTTAGTGAGAAAGTGTTGGGATCAGGTACAACTATGTTTACCTACCAACCCAGAACTTCTCACCTGAATGCATTTATTTTTTTGAAGGGTTGGGGCAAATGCTGAAATTGGGGTTGAGAGTTACTCTTTTAAAAACCTTCTCAGTTGAACCCAGATCATTAATAATTTTAGTTTTCTACGCAATACATTGACTTCCCTGGGGATCTACAGGTTTAGCATGTTGGTTGGGCTTTAGTTGGCTAATGTTAATGCTAATGACTGCTAATCCCGAACATAAGGAGGAAACTGTAATTTGTGAAACCAGACGAATTATTCACATGGGGCTCAAAGATCAATGAATGAACCGAGTTACCCTCATTGACAGATTTTACCGATTTTTATTTAAGAAAGCGACCACCCATTGCATTCAAAAGCATGGGTTATAGCAAGGTTATTGTTAATTATTATGAATATTTGTTTGGCCTTTGTAGCCCCACTTATGATGCTCCTGAAAAGAAGGACTGGTCACAGCAGTGCTATTAAGACTAAAATGTGTGAGCAGACTGAGCACTGTATGAGTACATCACCTTGCCAGCTCCTGTCACCACTAACTAGTGGTATGATGCTGTACCAGACTCTAAACAACCTCCTTATTGTTCTGGGCTCCTCCTGCAAGTACTGTAACTCTCCTAGATTCACAGCAATGTGCCTTCTATTTCCCCTCTCTCCTCTGGCATCGTAGACTGACTCCTCTTTCCTCTCTGTGCCAAGGCTTTGTTAGAACCAGACAGCCTCCCATCCTTCTGTTTCTAACCTTTTAACCTTTCTGCATCCCTCTCCATCCTTCTCTTGTTCCTTCCTTCCTGCCTCCCCCTGTCCTTGTCCCTGACCCCTAAAGGACCGCCACCTGGCCTTATTATTCAAGGTACTTTCCTTCCCATCATGTCTGTCTTTCTGGCTGCCATTTTGTTTTCTGTTGTCCTGATGATAAATCATGTTTTAGACTCAGCTTGTTGTCACTCGTCTTCTGGTTTGTTATGCATTTTTGCTTTGAAAATTACTAAAGTTGTGACTACTTTAATTTTAGAAAATGTTGAATGTATTTTAGGCACTGTTGTCCTGTCTTACATGGAACTCATATGAATGTGTGATGCTATAGTATAGTAACAATGGCTCTCCCTGCTGTCTCCTAGGACTCTGGACATCCTTGTACAGCCAACGATCCCGACAACTGCCTCATGCCTGTTTCCCCTCAGCACTTCATAGACCTCTTCAAATTCTAGACCTCCTTTTGGTACTCCAGACCAGGAGAGGGTTAACTTTTACCCCCTCCTCTCCTCACCTCTCCTCTCTGTGTGTAGTGTTTTTTTACCCTTAAAAAACAAAGGGCTCAGAGGAAGAAGACGTGTTTTGTTATTTCATGTTTTTCTGCACATTTTTAACTCTGACTAAAAACAACAATATGAGAGAGGAAAAGAAGAGATGACATTACGTTTTTGAGTGTTGTAGATGGGATAAACGGTGTCTGATGCATCTATGGCATTAAAGAGAACTGCAGTGCTCATTATTGACACCTTGTTGGGAAATAACTGATTATTCCATATGATGGCTTGGTGGCCATTTTTAGGCTAGTTTGCCTACTGTTTTTTGTTTGTTTCCTTGGTAACAGAATGCATGTCCAGTGTAGTTGTAGGTCTCTCTGTCCTTCTGTGTATTTTTGCCGTGCTGTGCATATAAGGCGTCAACACTAAAAATAAATGTACATGTTTGTTGTAACAATTACTTTTTACAATACACCTTTGTCAGAACAACTGTCAAGTGGACAGTAAAAAACTGAAATGTAAACATGACTATTTATGGGGGGGGGAGTTTTGTACCCATCATTTCTTTAGATTTTTTAAATATTACTTTAGCCTTCCAACTGATATGGAACTTATAGTTGGCTACTCGTTGGTATTATCATGAATTTCCTGAGACAGAAGCTGACTAATTATTAAAAATAATTAAAAAGGCGTTCACGGCTGTGGTTGCTATGGGTATGGGAATCATCTGACCTTTTTCCTTTTAAGATGCACTATAATATGACAGACCTTTAACATCCAGGCAGATCACAGCAGCACAGGAGACTGAGCAGAGTACACTACCGTTCAAAAGTTTGGGGTAACTTAGAAATGTCCTTTATTTCGAAATAAAATAAAATGTGGCCATTAAGATAACATCAAATTGATCAGAAATACAGTGCAGACATTGTTAATGTTGTAAATGGCTATTGTAGCTGGAAATGGCTGATTTTTCTATGGAATATCTACATAGGCGTACAGAGGCCCATTATCAGCAACCATCAGTCCTGTGTTCCAATGGCACGTTGTGTTTGCTAATCCAAGTTTATCATTTAAAAAGGCTAATTGCTCATTAGAAAACCCTTTTGCAATTATGTTAGCACAGCTGAAAAATGTTGTGCTGATTTAAAGAAGCAGTAAAACTGGCCTTCTTGAGACTAGTTGAGTATCTGGAGCATCAGCAATTGTGTGTTCGATTACAGGCTCAAAATGGCCAGAAACAAATAACTTTCTTCTGAAACTCGTCAGTCTATTCTTGGTCTGAGAAATGAAGGCTATTCCATGCGAGAAATTGCCAAGAAACTGAAGATCTCGTACAACGCTGTGTACTACTCCCTTCACAGAACAGCGCAAACTGGCTCTAACCAGAATAGAAAGAGGAGTGGGGTGCACAACTGAGCAAGAAACAGACGCCTCACAGGTCCTCAACTGGCAGCTTCATTAAATAGTACCCACAAAACACCATTCTCAACGTCAACAGAGAAGAGGCGACTTCGGGATGCTGACATTCTAGGCAGAGTTGCAAAGAAAAAGCCCTATCCCAGACTGGCCAATAAAAATAAAAGATTAAGATGGGCAAAAGAACAGACACTGGACCTTTTCTTTGCAACTCTGCCTAGAAGGTCAGCATCCCGGAGTCGCCTCTTCACTGTTGACGTTGAGACTGGTGTTTTGCGGGGCTATTTAATGAAGCTGCCAGTTGAGGACCTGTGAGGCGCCTGTTTGTCAAACTAGACACTAATGTATTTGTCCTCTTGCTCAGTTGTGCACCGGGGCCTCCCACTCCTCTTTCTATTCTGGTTAGAGCCAGTTTGCGCTGTTCTGTGATGGGAGTAGTACACAGCGTTGTACGAGATCTTCAGTTTCTTGGCAATTTCTCGCATGGAATAGCCTTCATTTCTCAGAACAAGAACAAAACAAGGACATTTCTAAGTGACCCCAAACTTTTGAACGGTAGTGTATGTTCGGCAACATTCACATGAACCATCCGTCTGAGGTTAAGGCCATGCATAGAGCATTCATAACAGGATAAATAAACAATTATAACAGCCAATGTAAGCTAGTTGGCTAGAAAGTGGCTAGGCTGTATGAAGGAGAGTGTTCCTGGATGATCCTCCACATTGTAAACTATACTGTTGTTGAAGTCCGGCACAATAAATTTGACCGTGCATTTCCCTAGGAGTGAACACAACGACACCTTGTTGAAATAAGCAGAGCCAGACAATCCAGGCAGGGCAGGTCTTTATTCTTGTGAACAAATGTGACCCTTCCTTTTAGTAAATATAGAAGCTCTAACGGCCATCGTTGGCAAGGAACCCGTATCTGTGCACAAACTTGGCTGTGGAAGAAGGGACTAAGTAGATTTGAAAATAAAGAAAAAAGGCACAGATTTAAATGAAAGGATTGTCCAAGTCTAACCACCTACAAGTGGAAAGACTGATTCTGTTTGGAATTAAATATACAGTTGCAATCAGACACAAAAAAATCACTGTTTTTGCTATGAAAATGAAATAAAATGATTCTTCAATAACTCACAGCTATCCTATTCAAGCACCAACACACACATTCACACAGGCACATACAACAGCAGATATCATGTTAACAATGTCTGTTGAATTCGTTTCTGTCCCAGTCCCAAAAGCACTGCTGCTGCTGGCAAAATTGTTGGAAACCATGAAGTTTCCCATGGCCATGAATGAGAAGGGAGGGTTTGTGGCTAGATGGTATACAGCTACGGTAAAAAAGTTGTATGTTCTAGTCGTGCCGGGAGAGTTTTTGCATTTTAGCTAACTCTAACCCTTTACCTAACCTTAACCTAATTATCCTAACCTGCTGTGTAAGTTATCCTAGCCTGCTACAAAAAGTCAATTCTGTCCATAGCTGAAAACCATTTAGTCAAAACCAGGGAGGGGTGCAGCAGTGATGCATGCTGGGATTGCCCATCACATCATTTGATCTTCATGGTGAGCTTGGTGTACTAGTAGTCTATTCCAATATGGTGAGCAGAGAAACATGCCACAACACATACTGTAGGGAAAGGCACATCATGGCTTGTTGTCTAAACAGGGAAACAGCACACAGACTGCATGCAGAAAATGGAGCTCAGTCCTCTTATTGCATGGAAAATGTTTCTTATCATCAGATTTGACTGTACAGTATTCATGACACTCCAGTGGTCTGCCATTTGCTGGGTTTGTAACAAGAACATTTGGATCATATCATTCATTAACAATACTCCAGATTCAGCAGCCTATATTCGCTCACACACACACTTATTGTTCAGAGTCTGGAAGGCTTATTACATGTTATTGGACAAAGCATTTTAAGCCTTTTAGCTATGCTTATTAGACGCTAAGGCCTCTGACACATTCCTCTCCCAATAGACATTTACTGCAGGGCCAGGGAGGGCAAACAGCATTGAAAACTTCTCTTTAAATAAGGCCTAGAGTAGCATAGTTGGTCTTGTTTTCAAACTACTGTCTTGCATAAAACATGAATGCCTATGTAACAATACAAAATATCTCTTTTGGAAATCATTCTCTTGGCTTGATAATATAAAATGTTCAAAGACCAGTGGATAGCACAGTTTAAGGTAGTGTAAGGCTTTCATGTGTTTGCTTTTTTACTTTCCAACCTCTTATCTATGACATCCTTTTCAAGATGGTGACCCTTTTCTCTACACTGACAAACCAGTCCACTCAAACAGATCAACATAGCATAATGTATTCCCAGGCTCAATGTCTCTGCAACATTAAAACATCACAATTTCAACACAAAGTCAACAATAATAGATTTTAGTGACCTTGTCTGCTTTGTAAGTTCATCTGCTATGTTGTTGGAGTGAGCAGTCATAGGGATATATGGGCTGTGTTCATCTATGCTGTACGGAAAAGTCAGGACTGCACTCAGAATGTCAATGGAGGAATACAAAATCAGTTCTTTAAGCAGCACAGAGACAGACAGGCATGTCTTTTTCCCTCCTCTTGATTTGAGGAAAGAGGTGAGGGGGAGGGATTGCTGGCAAGTAAGGGGTACAGCTTTTATTTAAACCCCTCCCATGTCTCCGACACGTTCCCTCGGCTCCGCCTCCTGATTCCGGCCAGCTTGCCTTTGGCGAGGGCCGTCCACCTGACAGCCGTGGAATCCCGTGATTCTGACAGGTTGGCGTAGTGCGACGAGTCTTCCTCTAGACCCAAACCTGCCCAGGAGGGCAGACCCAGCGGGAGCCCCAGAGCCTGGGGGAAGGACACAGGCGAGTCCCTGGTCCCACTCTGAGCCTCCATTGCCTCGTCGGTGGGTGTCTCGGTTGGGTCGGCCAACTGCGGTGGCTCCCAGCCCTCCATCTTGTCCAGTTTCCTGGTGGGCGTGATCTGCCTCATCGTCATGGTGACGCTGTCCCAGAAGCAGTGGCCCTTCTCTGTGATTGGCTTATTCTTCTCCTTCCCTTCCTCCTTGTTCTTCTTGTGGGACCTTGATCAAAGACAGACAGAGAGGGGATGAAGAGGACTATGAGTACAAAAAGCAGTAAGAACATACTAAAATCATTGTTCCTTGATGTCCAATGTAGTTGTGTACATGTACGCATGGGTACTCCCCTACCCACATCCTAAATACACTATTAGAAAAAAGGTGCTATCTAGAACCTAAAAGGATTCTTTGGCTGTCCCCATAGGAGAACCCTTTTTGGTTCCAGGTAGAACCCTTTACAAAGAGGGTTCTACATGGAAGCCAAAAGTGTTCTACCTGGAACCAAAAAGGGTTCTCCTATTGGGACAGCCGAAGAACCCTTTTGGAACCCTTTTTTCTAAGAGTGTAGAACATGCAGGATACTAGGACATGAGGGTGTGGGATGGTAAAGTATATGTTTTTTACCCCTATTTTATATTTACCCCTCTGCTTATCCAGTAGGAGTATGCATGACAACGGGGCATCCTAAGCCCCCACACCTACTCCTTTAGAGACTTATTTTATTCCCCTCCCCCTCACTTCCCCTACTGCGTCGGTAGGACATTAAAGTAGGAGTGTGGTGCGTTCCCCATTGAGAGGGGCATTGTATAGGGATCCCAGAGGTATTGTACTTCTGCCACTGAATGATGAGTTACCCTCCATACATTCCACTACCCTGGGGAGACAGGATGTTGACGTGAGCCAGTGAACGCAACCCTGTCTAGTATCTAACATTACATGAGTCATTGAAAATAGCCCCATTTAACATGAAAGGCCCATGTTGTATAACATTGTTGTATAGCATTGCTCGAACTCAACCCTGTGCCATCCTCCCATGAACACTGCCTAGTGCCTACCTCTAGTGTCAGTCTGCCACTCTACCTTGGATGTCTCTCTGTTCCCTGTCAGACTGTCTGTCTCTCTATCTGACTCTCTATGTCTATCAGTCTGTCTGCATGTCTGTGTTCAGGAGGCTCTATCCAGGATTAGGTGGTTTTGGGAGAGCAGCAGCGCCAGCAGAGCTTACTGTAGGCCTCACCTTCTCAGAGAGGTCAAAGGAGACAGGACATTCATCTGACTGAGGGAGGGAAGACACACTGTGCTTATCTCACCCTCTCCCTCTGAGCCCAACTAAATGTTCTATGGGGCCAGTCCTATTGCACCTTGTAGCTAATTCAGGAAATAAGAGTTGTATTGGGGCTATGTCATGTACTGTAGGTTTCAGAGGGAGCAAAAGAATGGCATACGCAAACATGCCTGCACTTTATGTTATATGTCATGATGATAGTACAGTATATGATCCATCTCACCCTCTGCGATCGGCCAGTGTGACCCCTGTCAGTAGGAAGTGCTCGTCATCCTGAGAAGAAAACATCTTCTTATCCCTCTTCTCCTTCTTGGACTTGACTTTCTTCACTTTCACATCCTGGGAGACCCAAACACAAACAAACATCAGAGCACCGCTAAATTAGAGCCCGACCGATATGTTTATTTGGGGTCCGATACAGATTCCACTTTTTTTGGGGCAAAACCTACTGATACCGATATATCTGCCGATATACCGTTTACATCAGGGAAATTAAAAAGTGTCATTCTTCCACTGAATTCTCATAAATTGCCATCCAAAAGAGCAATTTTCCAAATTACTACGCTTCAAATGTTGATTTCATACATTGTGACAATAATGACACGTCATGAAAATGGCCGCAAACGTTCAGATAGGCATGAGATTCCCCTTTTTCCATTTATCGGCGGAGTTATCGGACGATACCGATATAGCGCTAAAAGGCCAATTTCGGTCGGGCTCTACTGTAAACACGACTGTAAATCCTAAGTAGGTTTTCATAAGCTCTAGAATGATAATCATAACAGTTCTATGGTGTTTTATGACTATTGGCTTCCACCACCAGAACAGTGTTTTTAAGTGAAGAGATGAACTCGAATTAATGGATTAAATCGAAATTGAATACAGGTATTGGTCATTTATGTGTAAAATGGGGTAACAGTTATAGCACAGTCATCTCGGCTCCAGCCCTGGCACTGAGGAGAGAGAGAGAGGGGGGAGAGAGAGAGGGAGAAAGAAAGAGAGAGAGAGAGCAGTCAGTATTCACTTGGCTGGTCAGGACATTCCAGTAGAACACCCTCCCACTCCCACCTAACCCACCGACTCATCTGTCACATCGCAATTCCAGCCTTATTTTTTTTCAAATAATGTGGCCGAATTCAACTACTTCTATTTGAAGTATTTGAAAGTATTTTCAAATAATGTCCTATAAATGTAGGCTATTTGAAACTATTTTCAAATGTTTCCAAATACATTATAAATACCCCTAGGACCAAACAGACCTGGGTTCAAACGCATGGAGCATTTAAATATTTGTATTTGAACTGTATTTGTGTATGAGTATTTTCAAATACATGCCAATACTTTCCAAATGCATTTCCAAATACATTCCAATATTCAACTACTGTCCAAATATTTACATCGAAATGTGAAAGTAATTGAAATACTTAAAATAGTATTTGAACGCAGGTCTGCTCTCCGCGCAGGGAATGCCTATTCTGATCCCAGGGAACACCCATCCTGATCCCGGCCCTTTAGCAGTAGTTGGCTCACTGTCCCTCTTTTTGTTCTTGTCCCTCTCTTTATTCCCAATGTCAAATATTAAGGTCATATCGTTTAAACCAACTCACATCTGACCTGTTCCTTTCACATTAGAACATTCCTGGCATTTCTGATAAATATTCAGGATACTCGTAATGGACTCCAAATGATCTGTACCCTCATAACATTTGAGGTTACCCGTCAACAAGCCACTGTGTAAGAGTCTGGTAAGAGGCTGTTTCTATGGAACTAAAATATACATACACACACACACACACACACACACACACTTTTCCCAGTTCAGTCCTTGTTGTTCTGGAACAAAGGACAGAGAACACAGGACAACACAAACAAACAGTAGTCTGCAGACTAAACCAACCAAAATATAAACAGAAACACAAAAGGGCCATGAAAGCTCTTATAATCCCAGATTCACATTGTTGAACCCAGAAACCTCCATTTACTAAAGACAGGGTCCTGTTTTCCCTCTTTGCAGTGAAGTAGGCAACAGACAGCCACACGCTCTGCAATGTCATACACACACACACAGACACGTGCCCTCTACCACTGCATAGTTGGCTGCACCCTTCCTCTCTTTATCCTCTGCTCACTTCACACATTCACACACACACACACACACACACACAGCGCCACCGTGCACATGTACAGTAAACCCATACGTAAAAATGTATGCACACATGACTGTAAGTCGCTTTGGATAAAAGCGTCTGCTAAATGGCATATTATATTATTATTATACACACTGTGTGATTTGTTAAGTTTATGGGGAATGCCATTGGTTGTATTTACACACAGTTTGATGAATGTGTCATTAAAATACCTTACAGTCTACAGCCCCTAATAAAGGAGGGGGGGGGGTTTAATAAATATCAGATATGATTAGTCTTCTTCTCATCCTCTCCTTCTTTCATCCACATACCAGGGGGGAGTGCTGGGACAGGAGAATGAAGATTAGTTGAGGTTGAGACATCCCAGCAAGCACATAACATTCTGAGAACCATATGTTTCTTAGAGCTTGACGAGAGCGTGGTTGTCCTATGGTTATTTTGCATACAACCTTCCCACTACTTTCTGGGATTGGTGCAGGATAGTTGCTTGGCTTTGGAACATTCTCAGCACATATAAGGAACTAGACAAAAATACAATTATTTTCTTGGTATCCTAAAAGTTCAAACATGGTTCCATTTATAATTTTTTTGTCATGTTCTAGAATAGTTCAGAGAACGTTAAGAAACAACGTTCTTCTGTGGGAATTTCAGTACTTCAGCATAACGTTTTCTGCAGGTTTCCTCATGGTTCTATTTAAAGTAATGTTCTCAAATTGTTCCAAAAACGTTAAGAAAACACAAGAAAACTTTAGTAACGTTCAGAGAATGTTCTAAGAATGTTATTTAAAAGTACACATTCCGTTCTCAACAAAACTCTGTCCTCTCTCGTTATGGAAAAACACTAGGCTTTAGAACACCAACTGTAACTGTAAATCACCATATTGGCGTACATTAATGAGCATACTTTGCTGGGGTCAAACCATATATGAAAACATTACATTTTTTTAAAGATGAGAAACAGCCCTTTCAAATGATGCGACATGCAATAAATAGTACCACAATCAAATGGTAATCAGTTAACCCATGGGGGGGGGGGGGGGGGGGGGGGGGGGGGTCTGACAAACACTGCTCTAGCTATGTCACTTTTCACCGCAGATGTGGAAGTGCGACATAGGCGGATGCTGACAGATTTTTATGGGGATTTGTGTATTATGCTAATTAAATTTCCGCGGGGACGTGGACATCGACCTTAGGGGGTTAAGAAAAAACACCTGTGAAAATGTCTATCTTATACACTTTTTTCCAAACAAGATGGAGAAAAACAGAGCATATTGAGTCTTCCTTATTTTGTAATGATTGATAATCAGAAATCAGAATAGTAATACATTTTACTGTGAATGAGTTACAGACGTTTTAGTGACTGGTGGTATTCTTCTAGAATTCTATGGAACGTTCTGTGATCAGACACCTTTTCTGGATAGTATATTAAACACATATGCACCAAAACATATTACAAATGGCATTTAGTTTTACATTTGATAAGGAAAGAACTACACAAGTAATATAATGTTAATAAAACAACTTTATTGAAATAATAAGATTAGGGGAATAAATTGTCTCATTCAAACCTGAAAACAAAGTGCAAGTTACATCATGCTATCATAACCATAACATTCACTTCAGGGATATTGTCATCAAAATTGAACTGGAATTACAATATATTATAAGAATAAGGCATTTAATAACAATAATTGGCTTTGACAACTTCAATTTCTTCTTACATACATTTACATTCCACTAGGCCTTTAACCGGATACACAGAGAGTATTAAATGCATGTAAGAAAGGGGAAATGACCAGTGACAATCTGAGCTACTGGGTGAAGACTAGGATTCCCTTTACTAGTACCTAGCTATGTATACAGTGCATTCGGAAAATATTCAGACCCCATGACATTTTCCACATTTTGTTACATTACAGCCTTATTCTAAAACACCAAATGTCATTCATAACACTTTTTAGTGTTTTGTAAGTGATGTCTCTTTGCACTTATCAAATGGCACTGTATGGATGCCGGAATGATTTTAGAGTGGAGTAGCCTAATATTTGGAATAGTAACTGAAGTCTGGACACTGACTGTAGGCCTCACATATAGCTTATTATAATATTAACTCATGCAGAATTAATTGTTCCTCGCAGTAAAATTATAGACCAAATTTACTCCGGGAACAGGAGTGGAGAAACGTGATTTATTTCGTTCAGCATCTTGAGAGAATGCGAATACGCACTTAGGTACCTGTTGTGTGGCCTAAGCGTGCAATTTCTATCAGCGACATAAAAGCTAACAATATTTCATTTTCAACCACAAAATACCTATCCAAGATTAACTGAAATACTATCAGAAACATGTTGGATTGTTTTCACAGCTTTTAATTTCTTTAAAACTGGTCAAAGTAATGTCATTTAGAAATCTCCCTGGTCCCTAAACGTCCTTGCTCCATGAGAGAAGCAGAAATGAAAGACAAAATGTTATCGATGTCAACTAGAATGTTGATGATGCATTTATCATTCTATCGATTTCTGATATTATTTTGGTGAACAAGGCTTTATTTAGTATTCTAAATGACCATCAAGTAATTACAGAAGAGAAGCTGCATGTAGAGTTGAAGTCGGAAGTTTACATACACTTAGGTTGGAGTCATTAAAACTCGTTAACAAACTATAGTTTAGGCAAGTCCGTTAGGACATCTACTTTGTGCATTCACACAAGTAATTTTACCAACAATTGTTTACAGACAGATTATTTCACTGTATCACAATTCCAGTGGGTCAGAAGTTTAAATACACTAAGTTGACTGTGCCTTTAAACAGCTTGGAAAATTCCAGGAAATGATGTCATGGCTTTAGAAGCTTCTGATAGGCTAATTGACATCACTTGAGTCAATTGGAGGTGTACCTGTGGATGTATTTCAAGGCCTACCTTCAAACTCAGTGCCTCTTTGCTTGACATCATGGGAAAATCAAAAGAAATCAGCCAAGACCTCAGAAAAAAATGGTAGACCTCCACAAGTCTGAAGGTACCACGTTCATCTGTACAAACAATAGTACGCAAGTATAAACACCATGGGACCATGCAGCCGTCATACCGCTCAGGATGGAGACGCGTTCTGTCTCCTAGAGATGAACATACTTTGGTGCGAAAAGTGCAAATCAATCCCAGAACAACAGCAAAGGACCTTGTGAAGATGCTGGAGGAAACAGGTACAAAAGTATCTATATCCACAGTAAAAATGAGTCCTATATCGACATAACCTGAAAGGCCGCTCAGCAATGAAGAAGCCACTGCTCCAAAACCGCCATAAAAAAAGCCAGACTACGGTTTGCAACTGCACATGGGGACAATGATCATACTTTTTGGAGAAATGTCCTCTGGTCTGATGAAACAAAAATAGAACTGTTTGGCCATAATGACCATCGTTATGTTTGGAGGAAAAAGGGGGTTGCGTGCAAGCCGAAGAACACCATCCCAACCGTGAAGCACGGGTGGCAGCATCATGCTGTGGGGGTACTTTGCTGCAGGAGGGACTGGTGCACTTCACAAAATAGATGGCATAATGAGGAAGGAAAATTATGTGGATATATTGAAGCAACATCTCAAGACATCAGTCAGGAAGTTAAAGCTTGGTCGCAAATGGGTCTTCAAAATGGACAATGACCCCAAGTATACTTCCAAAGTTGTGGCAAAATGGCTTAAGGACAAGATATTGGAGTGGCCATCACAAAGCCCTGTCCTCAATCGTATAGAAAAATTGTGGGCAGAACTGAAAAAGAGTGTGCGAGCAAGGAGGCCTACAAACCTGACTCAGTTACACCAGCTATGTCAGGAGGAATGGGCCAAAATTCACCCAATTTATTGTGGGAAGCTTGTGGAAGGCTACCCGAAACGTTTGACCCAAGTTAAACAATTTAAAGGCAATGCTCCCAAATACTAATTGAGTGTATGTAAACTTCTGACCCACTGGGAATGTGATGAAAGAAATAAAAGCTGAAATAAATCAATCATTCTCTCTACTATTATTCTGACATTTCACATTCTTAAAATAAAGTGGTGATCCTAACTGACCTAGGACAGGGAATTTTTACTAGGATTAAATGTCAGGAATTGTGAAAAACTGAGTTTAAATGTATTTGGCTAAGGTGTATATAAACTTCCGACTTCAACTGTATTTAGTTAGCTAGCTAATGATTACTGTAGCTTAATAGCAATCCTACAGCAGCCCTCTCTTCTGCCTGGCTGGCTAGCTAGCTACCTTCATATCTAATCACTAATGTTAGCCAGTTCATTTTAGCTAGGTCTAGCTCATACCTAATGACAAATGCTCTTCAAATTGTCAATATGAGCATTTTATTTTATACGGTTATCAATGAAAACATTTACATAAAAAAGACAAAACAAGAGCTAAATCAAGCAGCTAGGCTAGCTAGCTACCTTGTCTTGTTTTGGTTGATTGTTTACTTGGATTGTTATCAAAAATGTCATTTCACAGACTAATTTTATCAATCTGAAAAAAAATACTCTAAAATGTACACACTATAATTACCAACATAAAAACGATTGTATACCGTTTCTTACCTTAATATTGTTGTCCTGACACAGCTGTCAAAGTTGTGAGAAACCTTTCAGGTTCAGTAGAGGCGAGGCGCCTCCTGGTGATAGCATTCACTTTCAGTCACCATGTCAAAACTCACAATTTGCTCTCCTACCAATGAAGCATGGTCGTCAGTCGTTACTACGGCAATTCAAGATGGCACTACTCATACCTCTAATGAACGTTGTTCAAGATCAAAATACTAAAAATAGAGATGTTTCATAGTTACAAGTACAGTCATGGTCAAAAGTTTTGAGAATGACACAAGTATTGGTCTTCACAAAGTTTGCTGCTTTAGTGTTTTTTGATATTTTTGTCAGATGTTACTATGGTATACTGAAGTATAATTACAAGCATTCCATAAGTGTCAAAGGCTTTTATTGACAATTACATTAAGTTTATGCAAAGAGTCAATATTTGCAGTGTTGACCCTTCTTTTTCAAGACCTCTGCAATCCGCCCTGGCATGCTGTCAATTAACTTCTGGGCCACATCCTGGCTGATGGCAGCCCATTCTTGCATAATCAATGGTTGGAGTTTGTCAGAATTTGTGGGTTTTTGTTTGTCCACCTGCCTCTTGAGGATTGACCACAAGTTCTCAATGGGATTAAGGTTTGGGAAGTTTCCTGGCCATGAACCCAAAATGCGATGTTTTGTTCCCCGAGCCACTTAGTTATCACTTTTGCCTTATGGCAAGGTGCTCCATCATGCTGGAAAAGGCGTTCGTCACCAAACTGTTCTTGGATGGTTGGGAGAAGTTGCTCTCGGAGGATGTGTTGGTACCATTCTTTATTCATGGCTGTGTTCTTAGGGAAAATTATGAGTGAGCCTACTCCCTTGGCTGAGAAGCAACCCCACACATGAATGGTCTCAGGATGCTTTACTGTTGGCATGACACAGGACTGATGGTAGCGCTCACCTTGTCTTCTCCGGACAAGCTTTTTTCCGGATGCCCCAAACAATCGGAAAGGGGATTCATCAGAGAAAATGACTTTACCCCAGTCCTCAGCAGTCCAATCCCTGTACCTTTTGCAGAATATCAGTCTGTCCCTGATGTTTTTCCTGGAGAGAAGTGGCTTCCTCACTGCCCTTCTTGACACCAGGCTATCCTCCAAAAGTCTTCGCCTCACTGTGCGTGCAGATGCACTCACACCTGCCTGCTGCCATTCTTGAGCAAGCTCTGCACTGGTGTGCCCCGATCCCGCAGCTGAATCAACTTTAGGAGACGGTCCTGGCGCTTGCTGGACTTTCTTGGGCGTCCTGAAGCCTTCTTCACAACAATTGAACCTCTCTCCTTGAAGTTCTTGATGATCCGATAAATGGTTGATTTAGGTGCAATCTTACTAGCAGCAATATCCTTGCCTGTGAAGCCCTTTTTGTGCAAAGCAATGATGACGGCACGTGTTTCCTTGCAGGTAACCATGGTTAACAGAGGAAGAACAATGATTTCAAGCAACACCCTCCTTTTATAGCTTCCAGTCTGTTATTCTAACTCAATCAGCATGACAGAGTGATCTCCAGCCTTGTCCTCGTCAACACTCTCACCTGTGTTAACGAGAGAATCACTGACATGATGTCAGCTGGTCCTTTTATGGCAGGGCTGAAATGCAGTGGAAATGTTTTTTGGGGATTAAGTTCATTTTCATGGCAAAGAGGGACTTTGCAATTAATTGCAATTCATCTGATCACTCTTCATAACATTCTGGAGTATATGCAAATTGCCATCATAAAAACTGAGGCAGCAGACTTTGTGAAAATTTATATTTGTGTCATTCTCAAAACCTTTGACCACGACTGTACATGTTTAGTATTAGTGGATTGAATACATCTCTTTGCTCAACTTTACTTCATGAAGTGTTTCCATTCTCCTTTAAGTGTGTTCAGGTGTGTTGCTGCGCCCACTAATTGGCCACACCTGATCCTAATGAGTGCTTGTTTCCTTTGAAATTGGGTCTGTTTGAATAGACTAAAATTAACAGCTTTGTATGCATAAAGAAACATGGCATGCTAGCTCCATCCTGGTGCGGAGTGGACAAATTCCATGGATAGAGAACATAATATTATAGGTTTGAATCTCACTGATGCCATGTCACAATAAAAAAGAAATGTCATGATTACTGCCTAAGGAAATGAATTTCCATGTGTCCTATCTGTACTTCAAAAAAGTTCACCTAAAATAAGCTAGCAGTGTTATTAAAAGTCTTATTGAAGGGCCTCCTGAGTGGCGCAACGGTCTAAAGCACTGCATCACAGTGTTGTGGCGTCACTACAGCCTGTGACCAGGAGTCCCATAGGGCGGCGCACAATTGGCCCAGTGTCGTCTGGGTTAGGGGAGGGTTTGGCCGGGAGGGCTATACTTAGCACTGTGGCAACTCCTTGTGGCGGGCCAGGCGCCTGCAGACTGACTTCGGTCGTCAGTTGGGAGGTGTTTCCTCCAACACATTGGTGCAGCTGTCTTCCCGGTTAAGCGAACGGGTGTTAAGATGCGCGGTTTGGCGGGTCATGTTTCGGAGGATGCATGACTCGACCTTCGCCTCTCCCGAGCCTGTTGGGGAGTTGCAGCGATGAGACAAGATTGTAATCACGAAATTGGGGAGAAAAAGGGGGTAATAATTACAACTTTAAAATAAAAAGTCTTATTGAAAAATTCTGTGAAAGTTTTAAGGAAGTTATTCAAAAACCTCAAAATTACCTATAATTTCCTTTCTCAGTGAGTTAATAAAACCTCCCATGAAAACTTTAATAGAACGAGAGTAAAATGTTCTCAGAACCTCCCTGCAACCTAAAAATAAACGTTCCCAGAAAAGGCAACATTTTCACATCCGTTGTCGGAAAGTTTTAAATACTTTCAGTTTTACCGGTCAGGAAACATATGGCATCATTCCCAGAACCAATGGGAAAACAAAAACATACGTTCCAACAACTTCCAAGGAACCAAATGTGCTAGCTGGGATGTCAATTGCTGTCATTGATTTATACTGTCCTGAAGGTTTAGAACTATTAACAGAATTCTTTCTCTTATTCTACCACCCCCTCTATCTTACTTTCCCTAACTCTCAGTTACTGTCTTCCTCTCTCTTTCCCTCATTGCCTCTTATTTTATGTCTATTTCTGATATGCTACCCAGGAAAAGGCTGAAAACAGCCCATATTGTCACGCCCTGGCTCTGGGGACTCTTAAATGTTGAGCCAGGGTGTGGACTTGTTATGTTTAGTTTTCTATGGGTTTTGTTCTAGATCGTTTATTTCTATGTTGGCCAGGGTGGTTCCCAATCAGAGACAGCTGTAGCTCGTTATCTCTGATTGGGGAACCATACTTAGGCAGCCTGTTTTCACCAGTTTATTGTGGGATCTTGTTCCGTATGGTTTGTTGTATTACCTAGGACTTCACGTATCGTTTTGTTGTTTTTGTTCGTGTTGTGTACACTTAATAAAGTATGTACGCCTATCACGCTGCGCCTTGGTCCGCTTCTCATAACGATCGTGACACATATTAGTATATGTAATCTTAAAGCTGTCCCAATAGCAGAGTCCCAACAGCAGTCCCAACACCTTACCACTGCTATACCTGGCTATCAGCGGAGCCTCGTCTGGCAGCGAAACAGTTAATTCAGCCTTATTTACTGCCTTTTAAAAAAACATAGTTGATATGGCTGACTTGCTTAAACAAATGTGCTTTCTACTGACAATTAAGATGTACAAACTATGGCATAAGGGGACGACAAGCAGATAAGAGGTCATCTGTAATTTCGTTTAAGTCATTAATGAGCGAGCTAGGACGGACGTAGTCAATATAACTATTGTTCAGCACTTTTGAAATGTAAAGCGACAGAATTCAGAACATGGGCCGTTCCTACAGTGTTCTCCCTGTACACCAAGTCAGAACTGTAGGATAAATAAATGGGGCATATAAGCAGACAATGAAAGCTCTTACAATATTCGATGATTACATTTCTCTAAAACAGGTTATAGGTTACATGTGCACCACCAAGTCAGAACAGTAGGTGAAATTAAGAGGGGAAAATAGACCAAATTATTAATACAATACATTTTTGGACTCACCTTGTTGTGCTGTGCTCACTTGAACAGGAAGGTGGCGAGGCGGTCCCTTCGTGGGAAAATTTTGTCATCAAACTTTGTCATCAAAGTCTGGCATTCTCTGGATTTATGGTGCTTTCAAGACAACTGGGAACTCGGAAAAAAACAAGGTCGATTCATGACGATGTTAGTGATCTTCAGGTCTTAGCTCTAGAAAGAGGCCCGAGTTCCAGATTTACAATTCCGAGTTGGATGACCGTTCAAAACGTATTTTCCCAGTTGGAGCTCGTTTTTCCCGAGTTCCCAGTTGTCTTGAACTCACTGAGTTAACAGTTGTTTTAGCGCGGTACAAATCATGCTTCATTGACAGCACGCCCAATGTAAAATGTTTATCATTTTAAGCTTGGAAAAGAGACCCTTAATCCCAGACTTAGAATACACAGCCACTCCACTGAATAGCAGGCTAGTGATTGCTTTGCAATGCTTGCAGTTAGCCACTGATTCCTTCCAAACCACTAATTGTTGAATTTGCAATTTCCAACTTGTTTTGTAATGTTTATGTCCAATGGCCGGTGAGCACCGATACAATTTATCTATAATTTCTCTTCATTATTTCTCTTCATATGACAAG